CAAAATACTTGAGAAAATCAGCAAGGAGGAGAAAAGGTTTATTTGGGTCCATGGATTTTGGAGGTTCAATGCCATGGTCTCTTGGCTCTGTTCTGGGCCTGTGTTAAGACAGAGCTGCTCACCTCATGAGCCAGGGAGCAAGGAGGGGGCTGGGGGTCCCAATATCCCTTTCAAGGACACATCAGGCCCCATGACCTACTTCCCCCTAGAATTAGGTCCAGTGTGCTAGTTCCCACCGACTTCCCACAGCGCCGCCACCTGGGCACCTCCAAAATTGCACTTTTGCAGGTATTTCAGATCCAAACCAGAGCCGCCTCTTGGCCTCACAGGCAGGGTTTAGGGTCTAGGGTTTACTGCTTTATCTCAACTGGTAATTGTCCCAGCGGAGTCCCACAGATCCCACCCCCGAGGTCCCCAACTGAGCACTGTCAACTCCCACCCTCCATCCACCGTGGCTTCAGAAATGAACCCTCACTAATGGCCAGTCGCGCGGCGGCCCAGTGGATGGGATGCAGACTCCCATGACAATGATGAAGTCAGCGAGCTTCGACTTTGGTTACACCGCACGGCCCGCAGACTCCAAATAATCACCACCCCACGCCCTTCCCCCCGAATTAAAGTCCGTTATTTATTTAAGGTCTTTGGCTGGGCCATCTCTGTTAAGCTCACATCATCTGTTTGGGGATGGATTTTTTTTGGGGGGGGGAACTTGTTGGTTTAAAGATGATCAGGCCATTCCCCCGGTTAATAAAGTTGTAAACACGGAGACGGCTTCTGGGCCGTGGTGCGCACAGGCAGAGGATCTAAATCAAAGAGGAATTCTTTGGAGACTTGGATTTGGTTGCGGTTGGGGGTTTGGGTTTGGTTTTGGTTTTTCTTCCAAAGCATAGAAACAACGAGAAAGCAGGCTTCTGAGCTCCAGGAACTCCAATTACACTGACATTTCTGCTGTGGAAACACACGAAGATCCGTTCTGCAGGAACCCAGTGAACTAGCTAATCAGATTTCCTTGGATAATTTGCTCCAAAGGTCAGCTGCCTTCAAAAGCACCCCGTGCCTCATCATTCAGTGAGGCAGGCTGCACACAGGCTGGGACTTGGAACCAGGCATTCCCGGGGCAAGGGAGTAAATCTGGAATTTATTTCTGCCCAGATCCTGCTGGCTCGGCCTTGGCCGAAGCCTCATCTAATTTTGTGTTTAGCCGACGGGCAAAACCACCACCAGAGAGAGCCCTCGGCGCCTGGAGACTTGGTCTCTGTCTCCAGGATGGGTCTCTCTCTCTGTCTAGCCCCAGGGACATCAAAGATGACAGACTCCTCTGAAACTTGCGTCTCGTTGGCAGATTTCAGGAGAGGATCTTGTTGGTAACCTCAAGGAGGGGTGACCAGGCCTAGGTTAGAATCACCAAGTCACCGTCTACCAGATGCCGGACCCCAATTCCTCAAAGTTATCAAGGTGAAACACAAAGACTGAGAAATTGCCCCAGACCCAGAGGGACCATCCGCGGGACTGTAAATTGGATTCCAGACCGAAAAGGACATTCGTAGGAAAACTCGTGGGATCCAAGTAAAATCTGGAATTCGGTTTAATAGGTTCCAGCGTCGGTATCTTGAGCTTTGACAGAGGCACCGAGGTAATGTGAGATGATAAGATTGGAGGGAGTGGAACTGGGGGTTATGGGAGCTCCCTGAACCATCACAGCAAGCCTTCTACAAGTCGGAAATCAATTCGAAATTTTTAGTTTATATTTACTGTTAAAAAAATAATAACTCCACTAGGTTCCTCAAGACAACGAGGAATGGAACCACCATATAACCCAGTTAATCCCACTCCTCAGTACTGACCCCCAAAAAACTAAAATCGGCACCCTGCCGTGATACAGTTGCTTGGATGTTTATAGCCAAGCAACTTGCAACAGCCCAGATAGAGAACCCGCCCAGGTAATGCATCGAGAGGTAAATGGATTAAGAAAATGTGGTCTAGGTTCACAAGGGAGTAGCACTCAGCCATAAAGAAGAATGGAATCATGGTGCTGGCTGATGAATGGATGGAGCTGGAGACCACCGCGCTAAGTGAAATAAGCCAGAATTAACAAAATCATGCTTCGCACAAGTGCGAATATGCCACAGGGAAATCCACCTTTATGTATCTCTCTAAAGCACCCGTTTAAAAAATAAACAGAAATGAATGGAAAGTAGACCAATAGAGAAGAAGGAAGAGAGGAGGGGAAATGGAGGGGAGAGAAAGAGGGAGCACAGAGGCTGAGATGGGGTACACTGCCATCTCTACGAGAACTTTTAAAAATTCTTTGTTTTAATCAGTTATACATGACAGTAGGATGTGTTTATGCACTTTGACATGCCATACACGATGGGATGTAATTTCTCATTTTTCTGAGTGTACAGGTTGCAGAATCGTATTGGTCCTGCAGTCACATATACACAGACAGTAATAATGTCTGTTTCATTCTACTGTCCTTCCTGTCCCCAAATCCCCTTCCCTCCTCCGATCACTTCCCTCTACCTAGTCTAAGGTAACATATTCTTCCCTAGTGCCCCCCACCTTATTGTGAATGAGCACCCACATATTAGAGAGAACATTCAGCCTTTGGTTTTGTGGGGTTGGATTATTTTTCTTGGCATGCTATTCTCAACTCCAACCCTTTCCTGGCAAACACCATAATTTCACTCTTCTTTAAAGCTGAGTAATATTCCATTGAGTATGTAGACCACCACATTTTCTTTACCCATTCGTCTGTTGAGGGACGCCTAGGTTGGTTCCACAGTCGAGCTATTGTGAACTGAGCTGCTACCAACATGGATGTGGCTGCGTCACTAGGGTATTATGCTGATTTTAAGTTCTCTGGGTACAACCAGAAGAAACAACAGAATGTGAAACTAAAACTAAATCTAACCGTGACAGACCTTCTCTATGCGCCAGGAACAGAGAAGGGGGTTTCTCAGTTCCCCTCACCATGCCCACCAGCATCCCAACAGGACGGCAGCAGCCACACCATGTCACTGGCTCGGCTGCCGCTCCCCCATCGGATCCCCCAGCCCGGCCCTCAGCCTGCTCCCTGCTCCTGGAGGGGGGCCAGCCCCTGTACCGGAGCGCCCACCTGGCCAGGCACCGGTCTCCACGAGGGGGGACCAGGTCCTTCCTCTCCAGGAGTCTTGGAGAACCTAAGCAGGGCTGGAGCCACATCTCTAAGGAAGAATGGAAGCTCAGTGGTTGGAGGAAGAAAAGAAACCTGCTTCCAGGAGAGGGCGCCATGCAAGCCAAGGCGCCAAATCCCAAGACTCAGGTCCTCCTGGGGCCTCCCAGGAGACGGCCCTGGGCCCCGGGGCTTGAAGGGAGCATTTTAGCTCGGGGCCCCACACAGAGAGACCTGGGCCCAGGTGAAGACCCGGATCCACCCGAAGGCGGTGGGTGGAAAGACTTCTCCAAAGATGCCGTGGAGACGCTGCAGGGGCCCAGGGGTCTCTCCTGCCCTTGAGCTCTGCGCCCAGCCTGGTTCCGGTTGGAAGATGTTCCCTGCCACCCTCCCTTTCCCACTCCTAGTCCCTGCTCTGCGTGATGCATCTTTCGTCCCCAACCCTCTTCCTCTGTGTCATACTCCATCTCAAATTGTCGCCCTGAAGGTCTCACTTACTTGGAGAAAAGGGGTGGGGAGGACGGGAGATGACCCATGCTCAGGGGAGCTATCACGATACGAGCTCTTGCCCTACTGACCGCCACCCCATCTTAACTACAAAGGAAGAGGGCCAGTCCCATTTCTCACACAGGAAGATCAAGGCTCCAAGAGCTGAACAGCCTCACCATACGGCCTCTAGCGGGGGCAGGGGTGGGGAGTGGATTCCGGCAGGCCCGGCTCGGCCACCTTCTCCAGGGCACCTCACGGTCCTGCAAGTGCCTCTTTGCTCATCGATTAAAGCTCTGTCTCCCTTGAAGCCAAACACAAGCCCATAGGTCTGGGCAGGAATGCGAGCTGAACATCCACACCTGCTTCTAAGAGGTCTAGACGTCTCCAACAGATCCCTGACGTTCCACACCTCCAGCCTTGGAGCGGCTGGTGGACCAGCAAGGGGAGTTTTTCCAAATCTCCTTTTCAGTGGCTCGGTGGAACAGAGTTGGTCTGGCTTCCAAAACCAGAGCCTGGATGCCTTTGTCCATTCTGAAAAAAATATGTAGGGAAATGGATGGATGTGTAGATGCATGGGTGGATGGATGGGTGGGCGGATGGATGAATGGATGAAGGAGTGGGTGGGTGGATGGATGAGTGGACGAATGAGTGGGTGGGTGGATGGATGGGTGGGCAGTGGAGTGGACGGATGGATGAGTGGACGAATGAGTGGGTAGGTGGATGGATGGGTGGGTAGAAGGGTGAGTGGATGGATGAATGGATGAATGAGTGGGTAGATGGATGGATGGGTGTGTGGATGGGTAGGTGGGTGGATAGATGGATAGATGAGAGGACAGGTATACGGATGGACATATAAATGGATGGGTGGGTGGAAGATAGATGAGTGGATGGGTAGGTGGGTGGATGGATGGATGGATGGATAGGTGGGTAGGGGATGGATGGACAGAAGGATAGATAAGCATTTTTAAGTATATAATATTTCTGAAAGGGATCATAGGGAGATATTAATGGCATATGCCACTCCTGGGGAGAAACAGAGTAGCTGAGTATGGAAATGGAAAATACATTTTACCATCTTTTGTATCTTTCAAACTTTGACCCATGTATGATACTTACTTGAAGAATAAATAGCAACGTGGAATTTTAAAAGCACCTTGGTCGGAAAGATAGGTATGAGTGGATGAATGGAAGAATGAATTAAATGTTATCAATAATAAATTTTTTAAGTATGTTGTAGTGTTGAAGGAAATCGGTTTGCCAGGGATTTTTCTTTAAATCTTGGCACCGTCTTCTATTTTTCTGTATAAGAATCTAATGTGATGCATAACCAACTTAGCGCATCATCAATTATGAAACTTTGTTATTTTAAGTCAACCATGTCTGGGGGGTTGTGGGGTTTTTACAAAAAGCATCTTGACTTCCTGGTTTGCCTGCCAAAGTCTGCTCAGGCCCCCTCGGCAGGGGTCTCGGGGAGGGACCACAGGGTTGAGACCCAGGAGCACACGGTCACCCCGTTTTCTGACTCAAGCTGTAACCGTCATCTGGGCACAAACCTGGCATGAGAGCTGGCCTCCCAACACCGCCCTCTCCATCCCCGGGGGACCCAGGGACAGAAGGTGAGGAGTCAGAGCCTGCCGGGAAAGAGGTGATAAGACAAACGCCGTCCCCGGCCACCACGAGAGCTTTTCCAGGAAGGAAGGGACAGAACAGACTCTTGGCTGGGGAAGCTTCCTCTCTCTCGGTGTGGAAATGGAGCGGCGCTCATGGGTTTGGGGGCTTCCTGGGGAGCTGTTGGCATTCCATGTCCCAGAGAGCAGAGCATCATCGTTAGACCAGACCCTCCAGAGCTGCAGGAGGGTTACCCGCTCCCGAGAGCTTCAGACTCCAGGTCAGTATCTCAACCACAACCCAAGACAGACAGACAGAGGCAGCGTCTGCACCCAGCGTCTATAGTAAGTGCTAAGTTAGTGCCTGGATGGGGAATGTCGGGGGTGTAACCAGCTCCTTCCAAGGTCCCTGGGTGTGGTGTGGCAGGACTCGACAGGTGATTTAGAGGTTTAGCTACGGGGCACAAGTCACCTTTCTATCCCTCCTGGGGCGGTTTGGAAAGCCCACTTTTCTCATCAAGAAAGAGACAGAGAAGCCACGGGCAGCGACGGCTCAATAGCGCCATCTAGTGGCGAGCCCTGCCCGCTTCCAAGAGCCTCCCTGGGTCCCACCCTTGCCCAGCGTGAGTCCAGGGACCTGGACACCCCAGGCTGGACCAGTAACTAAAGACGCCTTCAGGAAGGAGATACTCGAGTCAGGTCCTCGAAGAACAGACGTCCAGGCATCTCCAGCCAGGAGGACACGCCTGGTGAGGACCGTGGATGGTCCAGTGGCAATCTGAGGCTGGAAGGTGGGTCTGGACGGGCCGGGACCCTCTCCTTGACCACCGTGGGTGTTTGCACCTTGGGAGCAGCACCTCCCTGACCCCCCACACAGGCAGTGCCCACCCTCCTCGAGGGAGGGGTGTTGTCACTGTCTCCCGCGTGCAGATTAGGAAAGTGGGGCTCACGCAGGCTGACCCATTCCCAGAGGTGGCCGAGCCAGGGTTCCAGCCAAGGTCTGCCCGACTTCAAAGCTGGCTCTGGCCCCTCGTCCCAGGCCTCTGCTGTCGCTTGTGGCAATGACAGGGTCATGTAGGAAATCACTCGATTTCAACCCCAGGGTCCCCAGACCCTCTGTCGGTCAAACTGAAGTTTCTGCTGAAGCCCTTCAGGTTGATAGTCCCAGACCCTCTGGTCACAGGCACCTGGTCACCAGGTCTTTGAAAGATTGGGAGAGAAAGGTGTGAAGATGAGAAACCGTGATGGTTCATGGTGTCCACTCGACTAGGCTAGGGGCTGCCCAGATAGCTGGTAAGATGTCATCTCTGAGTGTTTCTGGAAAAGACAAGCGTCTGAATCAGTAGAGGGAGCAGAAATCACCCCTACCAGGGCTGGGGCTGGGGCTCAGAGGCAGAACACCCCCCTAAGACAAAAGAGGCCCTGGGCTCGATCCTCAGCACCACATAAAAGTAAATACAATAAAGGCATTGTGTCCACCTACAACGAGAGGGGGGGGGAGAGGGAGAGAGAGAGTTCGCCCACCCGTGGGAAGGAGTGAGTTCCAGCCTGTTGAAAGCCCCCAGAGAGAAGGTGGAGGAAGGGCACCTGTGCCTTGGGCTTCAGCTGGACCATCCAAAGCTCCTACCCCTGAGCATCAGAGCTCCTGTACTTGGGCCAGCTTCCCTGCTCCTCCAGTTTGCAGATGTCAGACCACGGAACGTCTCGTCCTCTGTGACTGTGTGAGTCACCTCGGCATCTGTCCCTGGGGAACACTGGCTGAAACAAAAGCGTTGGGAAGTCTGGCACCCAGATCCCACCTCTGCTTCAGACTTGCTCCAACGTCCAAAACCAAGTTCCCCCAGTCTCTTCTCTGGCTCCTCCTGTGCCAACCTCACTGCGGGGGACTCTCCTTCTGCTCGTTCCTCCCCTCCTGACACGTTTTCTTCCTTGCCTTTCCCTGAACACAGGAGATTCCCACCCCAGGACCTTTGCACTGGCCACCCCCCACACCCCACCCCCGCCTGGAAGTGCTTTGCCTCAAATACGCACATGGTTTGCTCACCCATCTCCTTCAAAACCTTTTCACAAATGTCACCATCCCAATACAGCAAGCCTGGCCATCACCACTCCCAACACAACAGCATGCCCCAAACTTCTTTATTTGCTCCGTATTCCATAACCATTGGCACCACCTTCTACATGGCTACCCAGAGCAATCATTTTTAATGGTTTGAGGTCTGGATTTCTTGACTAGGATAAAAGTATCCCAAGGAATGGTAGAACCGAGGTCTATGCAGCGTCCCCTACAAAAGCACTTTATCTCTGAGGCATGTTTGAATTTTTCTATAAACCAATACTGGGGTAATGTCCCCAAAGGCTACAATCTCATCTGCTTGGTTCAGAGAGGTATGCCAGGTCTCTTGGTCCATTTTCTGTTGCTGTAACAAAATGCCTGTCACCAGGTACTTTATGCAGAATAGATGCTCGTTTGGCTGATGGTTCTGGAAGCGGACCAGTCTGGGAGCACGGTTCCAGAACCCACTCAGCTTCTAGGGCTATTTATAGCATGGCGCAGGTCTCCCATGGCGAGACAGGGCCAGCTCGTTAGCTCGGGTCTCTCTTCTCATAAAGCCACAAATGCCATCGTGAGGGTCCACCCTTGGGATACCATCTGATCCAAATGCCTCCCAAATGTCCTGCCTCCAAATGCTGTTAACATAGGAATCTGCAGATTAAGTTTCCAAAATGAGCTTTGGGAAAACACACTCACACCGCGGCACCAGGTGTCTGGAACGGGATCCGACACTTAGTAGCTGCTCAATAAACACCGAGTGAAGGAATTGTTGAACAGAGCAAGTCGCTTCAGGCTAGATGTCTCCTCTCTCTAACTTCCATGTGTGGACTTCAAAGGGACAAAATAGTAACTGTTTTCATTTACTCCAGAAGCATGTGCGCATCTGATACATATCTGCAACTGCTGGCCACCAGGGATTCAGCTATGAGCCAGCAGACCAAGTCCTCCTCCTCCCAGAGCTTGGGATCCAGGGTGGTCAACAGCCACCGTTTCATGCACCTCCAATGCCATCCCTGGGCCCTCCTAGTGTCCGCATGCCCCACCTCAGCCTGGGGGGGGGGGGGGGGTTCAGGAAGGACGTCTTAGCTGAGTGGCCTCTCAACTGCATGCTGAAGGATGGGAAAGGAGGATCCTCAATATTCTACTCCTCCTCCTCCTCCTTTGGTAATAGAATCCTAGTATGTCCCTACAACCCACACTTGGGTAACAATGTACCCATCCAGCTAAAAATCTTCAGTAGTGTCTCTTGAAGCTAGAGCAGGCCGGCTGACCAAGGACAGGGAGGCAGGATGTGGCTTTTGTCCTTTGGCCCTTTGTCTTTCCTCAGCTTCCGTGCCTGCTGACGTGATCTATGGAGGCCAAGCAGCCCTTTTGCAGCCATGAGGATGGAAACCGCATGGAAGAACGGGAAGATGAAAAAGCTGAGGTCCCTGGAGGCATCGCTTGCCCGACACGGAGCTTATCATTCGTTCAAGTCAAATAAAACCCTCCCTGTTCAAGTCATTGGAGTATGGCTTTCTGGTATCTATAGTCACAGGCGATCCCGCCATCCTTTGTCGACGAGGGTCAGGGAATAAAAGTGAAATGTCCTCAGCCCGGGCTACCGCGTGCGCCATAGCCTCACCAAGCCCATCCAGGCGGGAGCAGAAGCTCAGCACCGCTGGAGTGGAATGGATGGAGAGAGAGGTGCTGAGTGAAAAATCCCCAAAGCAAACAAAGAACCTGTCAATCAAAGTTTTGTAAATCAGACTGGCAAAGCGGCTCAGGGTGGGCAGCCCCGAGAGGGAGAGGCATCGCCAACACAGACCAGGGACAGTCACACCAAGCTGCCACCCCCTGGGTCTACTGCACACGGAGACGCCCACAGCACCTCTGTCCCTCTCCGTGCAGGGCTGTGACGCTCCGGCTCACCTGGGCAAACACAGTCACTCCCAGGCCAGGTGGCTGCCCAAAGCGGCCTTTGCCCGTCCCTCAGGTCCCTGGGCTCTCTCCAGCAGACGGCAGCGAACACCTCAACGAGGGTTTGATCAATGGAGGCCGCCACGCTATTGACAGAGTCCTGCGGTTTCTGCAAATCGCCCGGCGCCCAGAGATCCCCGAGATTAATCTTCACAAATACGGGGCAGAGGGGGAGGAAGAAGCCAAGTCGATTTAGTTTCCGATGATTACTTTCCCCAGAAAGCACTGAAGAGTCAGAAGTTTAACTGATGTACGTTGGACAGGGAGACAAATCCAGAAATATCACCCCATTACCCGGCCGCTTCCAGGAGGCATTTTTCACGACAGCAGGTGGGCTGGCCCTGTCCAAGTCGGGAAGGAGACAAGACACCGCCACAGGACATCGACGCGTCCCAGGGCCCAAGCGCCAAGCAACTCAGGGCCAAGAATGGGTCCTGAGCCTTCGGCGTGCCCTTGAGGACACACACGTCCACCAATTTCCCATTTTTATTTCACGCTGCCTAGATCTTTGGAAATTATACTGACTGTTCCTTCTTGGAATAAGGTGGATTTGTATTTTTTTTTTTAAATACAAAGAAGTAATTGGCTGGGCACAGAGGCTTAGGCCTGTAATTCCAGCAGCTGAGAGGCTGAGGCAGGAGGATCACAGGTCTGACGTGACGCCAGTTTTAACTTCTTGGCTGACATCCAACGTCACGACCAGAGAACTCGAGGCGACGTCCCTCTCTGTGCGTTATGGGGTCAGGGCCAGCTCTCTGGTGTGCCTCGGGAGCGGTCACACGTGCCCCCCCCCTCACCTGGGGGACCCCGTTCTGCTGTTGGTGTCTTGAAGTCCCTGGCATCCTCCCCGGGCACCGGACCCTCAGGTCACCCAGCCAGCCTGCCCCGGGCGCTTGAGGAAAGGCAGGGTCCCGGGTCACCCCTGCTTTGCCGCGGTTCAGCCCGACAGGCCGTCGGAGGGGAGTTTCCTTTCTACAACCAGAGGAAGAGCCGCGTCTGGTTTTAACTGCAGAAAACTTTGCACAGCCGGGACCCAGGAGCGGTAGGAACGGAACCCAGGCTGGGGGGGATCAAGGGACAACGTGGAAAGGGATATGAAAATATTTCAACTGTCCCTTCTGTCCATTTTTTCACTTCAAGGGTAGCCAGTTCTTAAAAGGAGTGAAAAAGAACAATTTCTTGGTAAAACTAAAAAAAAAAAAAAAATCGCATTTCTGAGCCTCGATTTGCTGAGCATGGGGGCTGGGAGTGGCCTGGGACTGTCCCTGGGGTCAGAGACAGAACTGAGTTCTTCCCAGGAGCTGGCTCCGGGCGATGACCCTCCAGGCGGCTCCAACGTCACACGGGGGGGACGCGCAGCCATAGAGCAGAGCAGGAACGCATCCCGAGCCCTTGGCCGGGAGAGTCCCCAGATCCACCTGGCAAGCGACAAGATGAAGTGTGGAGGATTCGGCAGAATCGCAGAAGCCAGGCGAACGTCTCCAAGGGGACCCCGTCGGATGCCGCAAATAAGATGCGGGATTTTTTTTTTTCCAGAGGAAAAATATCAAAAATAGTTTCTTTTTCTTTTTTCAAAACTTCATGGAGGAGGATTTCCTTGCTCTGCTGGAGCCTGAGAAATATGGAGAGGAGCAGATTTGGAAGCCGGAACTGGAGAGAAGTAACCTGCATGATAAAAAGGAAAAGGGAGGCGGGCGGGGTGGGGGCAGAGTAGAAGGTTCCGGAAGCCGACGTGAGCCAGAGGAATTCTCTCCACAGACGGCGTGCTCCAGGGGAGTCACCCGGGCTCCGGGGCCGGGAGGCGATTCCCCGTAAGCATCGGGGACAGACAGGGTCCTGCGCTGGGCTCCTGGGGGGAAGCAGGGCGCTGGAGCCGGCAGCCCATGGGACCCCAGGAGACCCCTCCCCACGTTAGAGCAGGCTTTGCCTAGATCTCCGAGGGTCAGGATCCCATCTGGCCTGGGTCCTTCTACTTTGTTATAAAACGTCCGACAGTGACATGGGACCGTGGGGTCAGAGGGTCAGGGCTCCTCGGAGGTCCACACACACCGCGTTGAGTACCTCCTGTGAGCCAGGCGCTGCGTCCACTCGAGACTCTTCAGTCATCCGTGAGTCCCTTCCTCAGGGACAGTGTGACCACAGAGTACTCAGGTAACCCCAAAACCACCACTAGGGGTTCAGGCTCCATTTCCCAATTTAACTGTCCTCCTCGACAGTCGTGATCGCCAGAATTAACTCAAGAAAAGCCAGGCCTTTCCGCCCCACCTGGTCTTCCAACATGGACGTGGCGTGGACAGTCGATCAGGGAGGGTGAACTTGGGTGGCCGCTGGCCCTGGGGCCTCTTTTGGAAGGACACTAATCCCATCAGGAGGGCCTAATCGGTTCCTGAAGTCCTCCTCTCCTAGCACCATCGCGTTGGGGGTTCAGGGTCCCCCACGTGGGGGACACATTCTGTCACAGCGAGCACTCATCAAGCGGCTGACCCACGTCTGTGAGCTCCTGGAGGCTGCGAGCAGCGGAGCCGTGAAGCTCAAGGTCCGTGGGGCCTGAGCGCCGGCTACAGGAGACCCCAGGAAGGGGTCCGCGCCCTCCTTCCGTCTGCACCGGCCACCTGATGAGAGGAGCGGGGAGCCACTCTGCCGCGGGGCTGGACACACAGGGGCTCATCGCCACCAACACGTCACACGGGGACTCTAATCACCTGCTCCTTAAACGGTCAAGGAACAGAACACGAGGAGGCAGGACCACAGGGCTCTGGGGTGGAGGCCACCCGTGAGGAACCGTCCCCTCAAAAGCACCTCACAAGGGGACCCTAAGATGCCACATGAGGGCAGAACCAGCATCCCACGTCCCCAGCCCAGGACCTGACCCCAGGCTGACCCAATACGACCTCGGGGACACCTTGTGAAAGCCCCTGGGTCCACGGCCACTCTCAGGAGGCCACGCTCGGAGGTTTGTGACCCCGTCTGTCACCATGGCCACCAGCCGCTGCCACGCTCCGTCCCCGACTCTGCTTCCTCCTCTGTCCCCCAGTGCCCTTCTTCCAAGGGGTCACTAGGAGCCGAAGTAATTGGCTTCAGAAGGTAAATCCACCGCGACTCGTGAATTCTGAAACTCGGCTTGAGACACGGTCAGTAAACCTGCCAAGAAACCAAAGCAGGAAGAGCCGGGAATGTTGGAGTCCCTTCAATCCCACGACCAAGACGTCAGAGGACACTCCACGGGGAGGACGCACTCAGGGCCACCTCCCTTCCTGCCCCAGCACCTGTGTCACCTGCCACGTCACCTGCCACGTCCCCTGCGTCCCTTCTCGGCCAAACCCACTCCCACCTAAATCTTTGGAAAGAGAAAGGAAAGGGGGTGTTTAAACCAAGGTGACCCATGCCCAGGACCCACGTCCCCTCCTCACCCTCCCTCTGTCCACATGCCCCACGTTGACCTTCTCCTCTCTCCCACACGCCGCGCGACTGGGCCACCGAGTTCCGAGTTCAGTCTTCTATCGGGGGTTCTTTGATTTGCCCAAGCCGACGTGAAGGTCCCCCCACCCCCCGTTTCTATGACAACCTCTCGGCGCGTTCAGTCTTCACAGAGAAGAGTTATTGCTTTTATGTGCTCAGACCCTAAGACAACAGGGAAATTAACATAATGTGGTCCTACCAGGAAAAAAAAATAATCAAACCATCAAAACCCTCATATCCTCCCCAGGACTTCACAGATCGCTTCCAGTGAAAAGGGACCAAGGAGAAATGAGGCCCTGGCGTCTGACAACGCTGTTAACATTAGAGATTTCATTTCAGATGCATTTAGATGAAGCCAGACCATAATGGGGCTCAAAAAAAAAAAACAGAAGTGCACAGACAGAGAAGGAAACGGAAGGGGAGCGGATGTCAAGGCAAATTTGCTTTCAGATCATCAGTCGTCCCAACGCACCTCCACTCCGGTCTCTGCCACGCTAGTCTTCCTGCCCCAGGACCTTTACACACGCCGCATGCTCTAGTGGCCAGATAAAGCCTGGGCACTGTTGTGGTTGCTGGCCACGGGGATACTGAGCACCGAAAGGAGGCAGGCAAGGCACCCACAGCACCTGCCAATCCCCCAGGGCAACTATCATTGCCAGAGACTGGGATCGGGGAAAGGGAGACGAGAATTCAATCCAAAGACAAGCAAGAAGTGCGGAGAGTCAAAATGGAGCCAAGACATGAGAAGAGGAGAAAGCCTCAGTTCAAAGGTACCTAGACCTGAGCCAGGTGCCGGGACAAAGGGCCAAGCATGGGAGACCCTGTAAGGGGGTATCCACGGTCCTTCCTGCCACCCCAATAACCCCAGCACCCCCTTTGCTGCAGGGACATGCCTACAGGACAGGCCAGTCTGGGGAAACTCCAGCTCACAGGGTTCCAAGAGTAGGGGTGGCTCTCCCCCGACCCCAGACTGCAGGACGACCTCTCAATCTGAGTCCCCCAAGCCTCTGAGGAAGTCACTTCATTACCCACCGATGGGGAAATGGCTCACTAGAGGGCGCTGTATCCACCCAATCAAATACTACGCAGACACTAAAAAGGGTGACCATTCAGGGGTGAGCACTCATGGCAACACGGCCTGTGACCACACAATAATGGCAAATGTGAATCACGCACACTCGGTATCGGTCGTCTCCCCACCTGGCAGGAAACACACGGGTCTCCGACGGGTTGGAACCAAGGAGAGATCTCGATCCAGCTCTGAACCAAACACAGAGCAAGATCTCTGGCTGGGCTCTGGGTCTTCAGCACCTAGGACAGCGCCCAGGCCGAAAACTGTCCGGCACCCGAGGAGGCAAGACTCACCTAGGAGGCAAGACTCCCTGGTATCACGTCGATGGCCCTCTGGGGGGTCACAGCAGTCCTGGGGCAGCCCAGGCCCAAGGAAACAGACCCCGCTCCTCAATGCATGGTGCCACCAAACTCCCAGAGTCACCTTTAGCCTCCCCGGGAAGCCAGGCAGAAGGTGGGGAGAAGCCTGAACCCCGGGGTAGAACCATCTAGAACCCCTAGGAGCTGCTGGGTGCAGGCCAAGTCGCTCTTCAAACACTTTTTAAATGACGGACTCATCTTCTGCTCAGATCTCAGACGTGGCCGTGTTTACTTTATCGAGTGGATTTTTGGTTGCGCTGTCCCAGGTGCGAGGATGTCCTAGGTGCCATCCCCCTCCACCTCTTGCCGTAATTCTCCATGTGCATAAATTGCCTTTTTCAAATAAAAAAGGGGGGGGCATGCCCAGAAGCTGAATCCTCATCTTCTGCAGCAGAAGAGTCAATAGAAAATGTCTTAAATTGATAAATCGGGAAACGGCTGCATAAGCATCTTATTTTGGAGTTAAACACCAGAAGACCTAAAAATGGAAATATTCCCAGCAGCCGACTCTGGGACTTGGGGAGGGGAGAGGCGGGGAGGGCCAGGAACCCTGGACACCCGTACGGTGCGTTTTCACTCTGTACTGTGCGCACGCGCTACTTTGATTTTTTTAAAAAAAAATCCAAAAGGGGGAAAAAAATAAGAAAAATCAGTGATGGTCATTTTTTAAACTATGTAATTATTAAAACCTAGAAAAAAATCTCATTTTGCTAAATGGAAAAATAATGTGGATTACAAAACTACATGTTTGTCCGCCTGCTTAAAATTTAAGAAAAACCATCTATATGGAAAGGATATTCTAAAGAAACGTACCTAGAAGTGGCAGTGGGTGGATTTGACTTCTTTTCTGGGTTGCCCAAATTCTCAGCAATGTCTCCGACTTTCATAATGAAAAAGAAGTCAATTTATGACACTAAATAAATGAGCACAGTTTAAATAAAAATGTCGGAGGGCTCTCTGAAGAACTCTGGGCTGCGGAGCCCGACGTGGGTTCTGACCCCTGGAGCCTCCGCCTCCTGCCATCAGGGAAGGGCGCTCCGTCTACGGGTTCGGGAAGGGTCAAGTCAGCGACACCAACTCACTTGGTTCTAGAACATTCCCAGCAAGAATTCAGTTCCTCCTGTTTTGATTCACCTCGACAAGAACTTCATAAGCCTCCACTGTTTCGGTTTGGATGTGGATGGAGCGCTCCTCACGCCATGAAACAAACGTGTATGGAGGACCTACTATGTGGCAGACAAGATGCGCGGGGCCGGGGTCACAGTGGTAAGTGGGACGGGTGAGATGCCCATGCCTTCGGAGCCGCAGGCCAGCGCGGGGGACACTCACACTGTATTCTAATAGGTGCTTTGGTGAGGGAAGGCAAAGGGCAGGCAGGGAGGGACTCATCTGGAGGGCTTCCTGGAAGAGGCCAGCCTCAGCTCAGACTTAAAGAACGACAGCAGATGAGGCAAACGGGGAGAAGCATTTCCAGCTCAGAGAAGAGACTACGCAGAGACTCAGAGACACAGGAGAGACGATGGATAAAGTCAAGGAAGGAAGAGTGACAAAAAATGACATCCCCAGGTCAGAAGCATCCATCCTCCAAGACGGCTCCCTTGGGGGCTCTGAACCCCCTGGCCCGGAAGCCAGGTCCTGCCCTCTGGGCTCAGTCGAGGTGCTTCTCCCCGCCGTGCCCCGGTTCTGCATCTTCTCTGCCCTGGTGGTAAAACCTGCCTCGTGAGAATTAAATGAGATACTGGGTGCTCGTGAGAGCTGTTACGGCTCCCCGGCCACCGATCGTGGTTACAGTGGACACCGTGGAGCCCGCGCTGGGCCAAGCCAGCCACAGGCATGGGGTCATTAAGGCTCGGAGGCAGGTTTTACCAACTTGCCCACCTTACAGGTGAGGAGCACGGAGGCCAGAGAGGGTGTGCAACGTGGTCCCTGCTGCGGGTGGCCCGCCAGAGGCCCTTTACCAGCCCGCCCGTCCGTGCCCGTCCGTGCCCATCCGTGCCCGTCTGTGCCTCTCAGCTGGGCAGACACTGGCTCCAGAGAATCCCCTAGGCCGACGGCAGCCTGTCACCCACCCTAGGACCAGCACAGCAGTGAGGTCAGAGGAGGTCCTGCCCGTCTGCTTCCAGGCAAAGGCAGCTCCCCGACCGCATGCTCCAGAGCACCACGGGGTCCCTGAATGGACCCTCACCCCCATCCCTGTCTCGGGCTTCCAAGGAGCCTCACCACCTAAGTCACAGGACTCAGAGATTCAGACAGGTGTCCGCATCCCACAGGCCACCTGTCATGCCACCCGGACGTACCACGGTCACCTCTAAGTCTGCACCAGGGATCAAGCAACGGGGCTGAGGCCAGGTCAGCTGCTGGGGAGCCAGACACCATCTCAGACTCGAGGGTCCACTCCCAGTGGGACCAGCAAGTTCAACCCACCAGCTCCGTGCTCCCAGGGCCCCCGCAGGGGACCAGGGGAGGTGAAGGGCGGCTGAGCGCAGCTGGGCTTTGGAGCCCCTCCCTGAACAGGAAGGGAGGGAGGGAGGCCGAGGGGAGCACAGACTTCAGACAGGCTCCCGGGCCTCCCAAGTGGAGCGTGTGTCAATCGCCAGCACGGCGTCCTGCACTCCCTAGCTCTTCTCCTGTTGCTTGTCCTCTTCTCCGACCCTCAAGACCACCTGGGACCTTCTTGGCAGAGCTGGGAGCCTTCTCGTCCCCCCCCCAAATCAAAGAGACCCTCCAAAAGAGAAACAGCCCCCCGCCCTGCCCGGCCCCTGCCTTAACAGTGTATCTCCCCGACTCCATGCAAGAGGCTTCACCCAGTTGAAATTATTCAAAATCGACCTTGAGATCGGGAACAAATTGGCCGCGGCAGCCAGGGATCGCGGCAGCCAGGGATCGGCAAACGCCATCTAAATGCCCCAAGCAGCGCCTGAGCCTTCCCGTTGACAGCGAGAGTCGACGTGCGTCCTGGAAAATTCGGAGGAAAAAAAAAATTAAAGGTCACCACATTTGTAGGCGGAATGGATTTTCCCCGAGACCATTACAGACAGAACGTCTTAAATGGCAAGGATCCCGGGCTTGGCAGCTCCTGGGGGCCCCTGGGAGCAAAGAACATCGCCTCAGGTCATGTACATCCAAGCTGATGCCCGTGGGCACCGGAAGTCCCCCAGCGCCCCTTCCCTGGCTGAAATTCCACCATCGGCCTGTGATGCCCTGGTGGGCAGCAGGCAGGAGGACCAGGAGGCAGAAAAGCAAGATGGGTCCAGACAGGTGCGGTGGCTCACGCCTGGAATCCCAGCAGCTCGGGAGGCTGAGGCAGGAGGATCAAAAGCTCGGAGCCAGCCTCAGCAACAGCGAGTCGCTAAGCAATTCAGGGAGACCCTGTCTCTAAATAAAATACAAAATAGGGCTGGGGATGGGGCTCAGTGGTCGAGTGCCCCCGAGTTCAATCCCTGGTACCAAAAAAAAAAAATGATGGGTACAAACATTTCCGTAGGGGAGACCAAAACCCAAAGCCAGCCTAGGAGGAAAGAGTAGGATACCTACTGACTGGGAAGGAGACTGGCCCAGAGGGACACGGGCAGAACAGTCAGGACAGTTTCTCGAGCAGCACAGGGACGCAGTATTCTCTGGTTTTATCCCAAGAACGGAATCACTGTTGGTGAAGGCGGCCAGCGGTCACCACATCTCAGGAGCAGCGCATGCTCAGCTTTTCCATGCGTCCCATCGCCGTGGTCACCCTCTGTGAGAGGGTCCCGTTCATGCCCACTTCACAGAGAAGGTGGCTGAGGCTCAAAGAGGTACCTACGAGGTCACCCAGATGACCGTGACAGGCCAGGGAACCGGCAGCTGCAGAGCCCAAGCCCGCGTCCTCCTCACCCTGTTCCACGTGGGGTGCTCAGGTGGGGGGTGTCCCCTGAACTCGGGGGAATAGTAAAAGTTAACTCTCAGCATAAGCCAGTCAGTGGGGACCCCATTGTCCCAACAAGGAAATTAGCGTCCAGCAGAGTGGGGGGCCCTAAGGGGGTCTTTGCTGAAGCCGGGCTCACAGAGCACAGCGCACAGCACACCTGTGTTTAAGGACAGCGATGCAAGGGACGTGCCCTTATCCAGCCAGGCTCTGCTGCCGCCGTTCCCTCTGTGGTGGGAAGAACTCGATCCCCTGCCCCTCGGAGTAGGGTGGGCTTTGCTCATGGAAACGGGGCGGAGAGATGGCGTCCCAGTTCCCAGCCGCACCACTAAAACACACCAGGGGGTTCTGTCCACCCTCAGGAAGTGCCAGCCCCCACCAGGAAACCACTGCTCCTCCAGTCTGGGCCTCAGAAGCAAAGGCAGGGGTCACACTTGACCTTGACCTTGACCTTCAGCCTGAAGCAGTCTCACCCCACAGACCTACGAGCAAGATGGAAAGGCTCATCTTCATAAGCCACTGGGTATCGGGGACATTGTCCCGCAGCTCAGTGGCTGGACCTTACACATGGCCGTGAGCGTATCTACGATACAGGACATACACCTCCGGGGTGTCCCACAGAGGGACGTGTGACTGTTGGCACTGTGTCCACGTGACGGAGACGCTAGAGGACACTGGTGCCCCCTTGCTCTGACACTGATGGGCGGTGTGCTCGGGAGCAGGCTGCTTGCCCTTCCACGTTCAGTTCGTCTTTCGTAACATGGAGATAGAAACATCGCCCACCTCACAGGGTCAGCGTGAGGTCAAAGCATAAGAGGTACGGAGCGGGTTTGGCGCAGGGCCTAACGCAGTCCCGTTTGTCCACGCAACAAGCACTGAGTAACGGCATCTGCCAAGCCTCCTCCTGGCGTCCAGGACACAGTTCCTAGGTACGGGAAAAGGACAGCTGGGGGCCGGGAAGGAGGCAGCAAGCTCCAGCTGTGAGGTGGCCTCCCCAGCCCCGGGTGCCCAGAGAAGAAGCCGTGTTTCCTCTCCGAGTGAGGGACATGCATGTGACCAGACCCAGCTGTCGACAAGAAAATCCGCCTCTGCTCCACACAGACCTGTCCTTGGAGCCCTGGGCGAACCACAGCAAGAGATCAAAGACGGTCAGCGCTGGCCACAGCCGCACTCAGTGACAGTCCCCGCCGCTCGGCAGTCAGGCGGAGAACACAGCCCAGCGGCCATCCAGACCCTCGAGGGTCCCTGGGGCTGGAGCCAGTCCTCAGAGCCCACTGGTCACAGCAGACATGCCGCCAGCAAAGCCAGGAGGTGCCCAGGAGCTGCAGGGCGAGGTCAGCAGTAGCAACCCTGACTGCCCGAGCCGGGCACCAGAGATGCCCTCCGACACGGAGGCTGGGAGGACTCGCTCTTCACAACACGATTCGAGCACTGCCCTCCAGGCCGTCTCCTGGTTCTCGGTCCTAATTGGCCCTTTCTCCGTCTCCTTAGAAACAGCCGCAGCAGTTGAAAGCGTGGTCTGTGGGGTGGGACTGGCTGGGGTGGCATCCTGATCCTACTGCTCACCAGCTGCGTCCTTGGGCTGGACACAACCCCTGGACACACGCACCCCCTGCCCTTGCTGGGAGGATGGAAGGAGACAGCGTCACAACACCTAAGTGACATGCTTAGCCCAGGGCCAGGCAAGATACCCACAATCGTGCCCATTACCAACTCTGTTGACCAATGAGGACACCCAGGCCCAGACAGGTGAAGCCCCCCAGCCCACCCTGCTTTTTAATCCCGGCTGGTACCATCCATTATGCCACCCAGCTTTCAAGGTCAGACACACTGACCTTGACATCCAACCTTGGGACACCTTGCCCTTTCACCTACCCAGGATGTATTCCTCCAGTGCACTTCAAAGTCCCCGCAGGATGAATGTCCACCCACCTGGAGGCCCCCGGAGGCCAGCTGACTCCACTCAAGGGCCTAACAGATATTTTCAGAGCAGGAGGAACTTGGCCGTGACCTCGGGAATCTTGTTCACAGGCAGATTCTGACTTGAGTTTAGATTTCTAACGAGCGCCCAGGTGGTCTGGCACTGGTCATCGGGGACCTCTGTGCAGACTTCAGGTGCTGAAGTCCCAGATCTCTCCAGTAGGCCTGCCCCTCCCCCAGGCCTGCCTTTAAAAGGGGGACAAACCCTCCTGGCTTCGGTGGTGGAGACCCGAGGGGTTCTGCCCACAGCTGCCATTGACCAGCGAGTACTAGTGCGGCCATTCCCACCCTCCGACCGTCCCCCGGACCACTTTGCCTTAAGCCGCCCTCAGCTTCCAAACACAGCTGCTGTCACAAAGGGAGAAACTGAGGCCGAGTCGGGCATGGAACCACGCAGCTCTCGAGAGCCAGGTTGAGAGACCTCTTGGCATCTCCTCCTCTGCAGAGCCCTCTCCCAGAGGGGACTCACCCACAATCCACAGGAGTCGGTTCACTCCCCCACCCTCCTCCATCTCCCCGGCCCCGCCCGGCCCCACCCTCCCGACTCCATCATCCTGGCTGGTACCATCCATTACGCCACCCAGCGCTGACTCCAGGTGACAGAGGAGATGATGGACAGATCAGATATTCCGCCGGGCAGGATGGAGAATTCCGATCACAGCCCAGTCGGATGCGGGGTCTCCACATCTCCTGTGTGTTCCCTCTGGGCATAATCACCCCCCACCCACCCACCGCCCGCCTTTGCCCCCACATTAATTTCCCCCGACTCATTTCCCCTGCCTTTGAATGTTGCCTTTCCAGAGCACAGTATGTTTCGGGGGCTGTTCCTCATCCCTCCCTTCTGCTCATGAATATTTCAGATGCAATAGTGATATGATCGCTCAACCTTAGAGGCACACCGACTTTATCTTATTTATCTTCCCGAGATGCTTCCGCATCCTGGGATTAAGTCCAACACCTCCTTTGAGAGGGTGTTGGGGCTGTTTTCCCCCCAGGCTGCTGCTGCCCGCTGCGGATGTAAATTGTGAGCAGCAGCCGGCCCTCCCCCTCCCCAGCCCTGGGCACAGGACCTGGCCCCGAAACTGCCTCTCCGCTCCCGTGCCAGCCTCCTCTGGGAGCCAAGTGGCAGGCCTCCTAATGGGTCCCTGCCGCCACCTCCCTCTCCCCGACTCCACCGCCTAATGAATTCTCTGTAGGCACAAAGCTAACGCGCCATGTGACCTGGGGAAGGTCATTCGCCACTCGGGGCTGAGTTTGCTCATGCAACAAACACGAGGGGCTGAATATCACGTCCCTGAAGCCCTTTCAGCTCCGAGGTTCCCATGACATGAGTCAGGGACAGAGCACGGGATCCTGAAGCAGACAGGGCAGCTCAAACCCACGCTCCACCGCTAACCAGCCCCGGGGGCCCTCCCCTAACTCCACCCCCGTAAGACACCTGGTTAGTATCAGCGGCCTCTTGGGCTCCGGGTGGGGGACCAGCCGTCCCTGTGGCCTGCCTGGGGCTGAGGAGTTCCAGGGACAAGGAAGTTTCAGTACCAAAACTAAGGCACTATGGGCCCCCAGAATGGACTGGTCACCCCAGGATGGACTGGTCACCCCAGGATGGACTAGTCACCCCAGGATGGACTGGTCACCCCAGGCAGCAGTGAGATAGACGAGCAAATCAGGTGATACGCGGAAGGCTGGGCGTGCCAGGCCAGCTGACCCCCGCAGAACCCCTGCTGCTGTCGCTTTTGATTGACAGTTTCAAGACTCCTCTTTTACCAAAGCCATACACGCCCATGGCAAGAAAGGCTTGAGAGGAACCGAATCTTGCCCCAGGCCCCTCCCCACTCGACCCCCTCCCCAGAGGCAGGTGGCTTCAGCCCCTTTAGCCTCAGATCCCAGACACTCCCCACCACACTCACCCTTGTTCCCAACCTGGGCAGCCTCTCCCAGCAGAGTGACATTCCACGTTCAACAACTGTCATCACGGAGGAGGAGCGTAACCGGGAGCGGAGCAGCCCCAGACCCCTCACACTTTTCAATGCTGGATCCCCAGGAGGTGGGGACACAGGTGGCAGAAGGAGGAGCTGCCTGTCGTGCCGTGGAAGTGCTTTGACACTGGCGAATGTCACTGAAGGTCAGCCCTGCTTGTGGGGGGGACTCACCGACTGCACAGGGCCCGCAGGTAGGGCAGGACACCTGGGCTTCCAGGCCGGGCTGGCCTCCTGCACACCTGTTTGGCTTCTGGGTCTCCCTGGCAACCGTCGGCACCATCATCAGCTGGTCCAGGTCAAGCAAAGTCCACTGGAGCCCGAGAGAGATCAGGGCCAGCAGGTAGAAGCGATCCATGCAAGGGGCCGTGGCCTCCTGGCCAAGCTCTAAGGGCAAGGCATCGGAACAGGTCCTGCCCTGGACAGGAAGAAGGTCCCACACCAGCTGCCAGCTCCCGGCCTGGCGCAGACCACGGGTGTTCACGGCTCCCACCTGACAGGTGAGAAGCGGCACACACTGCATCGACTGGAGGGGTCCTCGTCAAGCCCTGGGAAAGCTGTCACCCTTAAAATCCAGACCCCGGACTGAGAATTGAAAAAGCGGCCCACTTGGTCACCTTGAGGGGACAAAGGAAAGCCGGAATGTTCCGCGTCCCTGTGGCGCCACCACAACCAAACCAAAACCCCATCCCAGAGAGTTGTGTCGCGCGCGGACAGACCCAGGCTGGAGACACCAGACGTACCAAGGACGAGCTTAGGTTGTGCTTCTTGGTTGACTTTGTCTGTTAGGTGTCTCTGGGACAACAGAAACCTGAAGAATAAAAACAGAGAACTCACAGAGCCGAGGGAAGGAAAGCGATCTCACAACCCAAGGGCGTCCTGAGCCCCAGAGAGCCTTTTAAAAGCCTCTGAAATCAGGTTGCTTTGGCCCAGGTGGAGCTACCCGGCTCATTTCCTGGTTGCCCCCAGCTGATTTAAGGTGAGGCTGAAGGTCAGACTCTGCTACTGCAGCTGGGGACCACAAAACAGCAATCCCGCTGTTCGCATCTCACGGGGAGGCAGGAGCTGGTTAGCAATGCAGCCTCAGAACCACCCCAAGATTTGAACAGGACCCCCACCCTCACCCACCTCCCCGTGAGTCAGGAGCAGACTCCAGGTGGAGAAGCCCTGGGCTGGGGACTCTGGGGAGAACCTGCTCCAGAGATCCTCTCTGAGGCTCTCTCCTGCAGCTGCCAATCCTCAAGACGATGCCGTGGCCAGGAGCAGTGTGCACACCTGGGTCCCCCCTGGTGGAGGGGGTGGGAGGAGGAAATTGAGCCTGGTGGTCCCACCAGACCCACAGGCCAGAGAAGGGCTGATCCTGAAAGCGTATAAAAACTACAGCAATTCAGCACAGCAACCTCGGGCAAGTCCAGAGAGGATGAATGATGCCAGCCACCATTTATTAAGTGCCTACTGTATGCCAGGCACTGGGCCCAGGACTTGAGTGACTCACGTAATCCTCCCAATACCCAAAAGGCAGATATTAGCCTTATAACTATCGCTACTGCCGCTGTGATGGCGGGTACTATTTTAATAAAGAAACTCGGGTTTCGACCAGTCGTTGCCACACTAGCATGAATCAGAATCACCTGGAAGGTTTGTAGAATGAGCGCTATCTCAGGGTTGACAAATCAGCAAACCTAGGGCAAAGCCTGAGAATCGGTACCTGCAACAAGTTCCTGGATGGTGCCGATGCTGTCCACCCAGACACGTCCAGGGCAGGCATGAGCCCTGCAAGCCAGGAAAAGGTAGCTACACCAAGTTAATGGCTTTAAGAAATCAGTCCCGAAAGTCCTATGCATGCCCCAACAGAGATGTGCCCCACGGCATAATGCCCCATCTTAGCAAGTCCCCATCTTCACAGCGGGTACGCCCACCTGGGCTCCAGGAGATGCGTTACCCAGGAAGCAGGTGCAGCCGGCTTTTGGGAGCACCTTGGAAGCAAGCAGTCCTGCTGAGAAACACGCTTGGGAATTCTTTGGAATTCACAGAATCAGGGAAGAGTCATTTCCTTTGGCCACGCACCTGGCTAGGATGGTGACAGTGTGCTCCGGACAGAGAGACTAGGGGAAATTATCACCGTAGCCCTGACTCCTATTTGCAAGAGTTTTCACAAGCTGGGCAGTTGGGCTGACCACTCAGGCAGAGTCACCCTGAACTAGAAATCTCTGGGTAAAAAATGGAGAGAATACTACTTACAGAAGTCAGGCTGCCCGGGGCCAAGTCTGCAATCCACTGTGGCTGTGGTCCTGAGTCGAGGTGCTCAGCCTCTTGGGGTTGGGTCTTGGTATCTTCGTCTGCAAATTAGGAATGACAGGAGCACGGAACCTACAGGTTGTTGGAAAGACTACGTGAACTAACCCATGTAGAACTCTCGGTAAGAGAGCTGGGATTTTGCAAGTTCCTGGTAAAGCTAGTTTATGATTATCAATATCCTTATTACTACTGTTATTCTCATTGGCAAAAGTGTTAGTGGTGTAGAATATTGTTGGCCATGCCTGGACTGGACCCCTGTCCATCGTAACCACCAGGACCCCAACATCGGACACATCTGCTCCACCGACAGGAACGTGGACAGGTACGATTTTTCTAGAAAGCCATTTGGCCATATATGTCAGGAGTCTTACAAATACCCACTCACTTTGACCCAGAAAGTCAACTGCTAGGAATTTTAAAGGTGCAATTGTCCATGGGGACAAAGAAGCCCAAGGAAGCTATCACAGTGCTGTGTGCGAATAGCAAAATAATGATCCTCATCAGGTGTCTGCCAATAGAAGACCCCTGGGGGAATCGTGCTATGTTCATGCTGTGGAATCTTCTGCAGTTATTAAAATCACGTTCCCACCTTTTAATTGAGGGGATCCTATAAGGTTATATTTTTAAATACGGTGGTGATATTCCATATAGACGATGGAACTAGGAACTCAACTACGTAAACACGTAAAAGCCACAAACAGGAACCACCCACCGGCGCCCCTGGCTGCTGCACCGCAAGAGCCATCGGTGCTGATCTTGGGAGGGGCCTTCCGGTTTGGGGAGCGTGTCCAGCAGGTCCTCTTTATCGTCAGGGGCCTGCTGGGCGCTGGGGCAGGGGCTGGCAAACTGGACGGTTGACCTGCAGGGGGTACTTCCTGCCTGGTGTGCGTTAAGCACCTGTGAATCATGGTGGTGATTAAGGAAGAAGGGGCCAGGATCCCAGACGTTGGCCCTGGGTGAGGTCCGAATTCCCTGGAGGGGCCATGCGCCCCGTCTCCTGCTCTCCAGGGGCTCTGTCCTCGGCAGGCCTCCCCCAAGGTGAGCGGAGGCCAGCACCTGCCGGCCCACCCCCTGCCCAGCAGCCTCTCCTCCCTCCTGATCAGTGACCACCCAGCAACCATCACGCCGGAGCCACTTAAATGCCAGCCTGAGCCTGTCACTGTGGCCCAGGGACGGCATCCTCCCATGTTCCCGACCCATTGGGTCGCCAAGAACACAAGGGGAAGTCCCCCCACCCGGAAAGAGGGGTGGAGACTAAGCAGGGAAGATCAACAGAGTCAGCTGTGGCGGGTTTTCCCTCCAAAACAGGAACCAACTATTGGAGCGACTCCCAGATGCTCCCAGAAAGGGTCCTCTAACTAGGGCTGTGGTTCTCGACCATGAGCCATCCCTCCCTCCTCCAGGTCCTTTGGAAATGACCAGAAGAGAGGGCAGTGACCACCACTGTGACTAGAGACCAGAAAGCCTGCTGAACATCCCACAGTACACAGGACAGGGCCCAGGTCAGCTCACATTCTGTTGCCATAACAAAACACCCAAAGCTGGGTAATTTGCAAAGAAAAGAGGTTTGTTTAGCTCTAGTTCAAAGGTGCAGGGGCTTGGCGTGTCTCTTTTCCCAGCATTGGTGAGGGTGCTCTTGGATGCATCACAAAATGGTGGGGACATCATGGAGGCTGTGTGGGAGGGAGAAAGAGCAGTCCCTTGGTAAGACGGGAAAACAGACAGGGACTTGGGCTAAGTTTGCTCTTTTCTTACAACGGACTCTGCACAAGACCAGCAGTGAGCCCTCCCATGGGCGATGCCCCCATGACCTAACTGCCTCCCGCTAGGCCCCGCCTCTTAAAGGGCCCACCACCTCCTAATACCTACATTGTGGACCCAGCTTGGGGAACAACCCACAGCAGCCTCACAACAAAGGAGTATCCAGCCCAAGATGTCAACGGCACCGAGGCTGAGAACACTGAATTCTGACCACATCTGTAAAATGATCACCCAAATCAGGAAGCTTTGGGAACAGTTCATACCAGGAAATCAGGCAGAAGGGGACCGTCCCAGCAAACAGGAACAGATGAATCCTCAGCTCCCACCACACTGTCCCAACGGAGGCAAAACCATTATCTGGGGAGGCTGAGATTCAGAGGCAGCACTCCCCTCACGGCTGTCAATCACAGGACCGCAGAGATGCTCTTCACCGTGGAGGCTCGATCTTACTTCTTCTGCCCCCTCTCATTCCAGGCGCTGCCCACAATCCGACACCTGCTTCTTCGAGGTCACTGCCATCTCCCGGGGCCTACCAGCCCAAGGCCACATCTGCCCCCAGATGCTGCTGCGGAAATTGTCTCTGGCCTGGCCCGCGAAGCTGCAGAGGAGACTGCCTGGCGGCCGGGTGGAATCCCACCCAACTGACCTGCTGCAGCCCTCGTGGGGCGGAGGCGGACGGAGGTGAGGGGAGCCCCGAGTCCCCCAGCCGCTCTGCCCTTCCCTTTTCATCTCGGAAGAGCCAATTTCAAACTTGCCTCGGGTCATAAAAGAAATTAAATTTTTGATTCCCTCAACCTTGCTCAGAGTGGACAATGTCCTCCGCTGGAGCCTCTGCGGCTGGTGGATCCAGAGTGAGGGCCCGTCCCCTCCAAAGGCTGCGGCTTCAGCATGGAGCCAGGATCATTCGCCTGCAGCTTGAGACGCCGTTCCTCTGGGCCCAAGGGGAGGCAGAACATCATGGCGGAGGGGAGGGGAGGAGGAAAGCCGCTCAGGACGGGGCTCCACTCTTCAGGGACAAGAGACAAACCCCAAAGACACACTCCCAGTGACCTGCCTTCTGCAGCTGCACTCGGCCTGCCCACAGTCACCCCAAGTCACCCGCGACGTGGATCAATCCACTAGGCCACACCCAGAACCTGCCTGCATTGTCTCACAATGCAGCTTCGGGCGTCGCCTCCTACCCAAGCCACAACCCCAGGCTGGTCCCTGTGCCTTCCCACCACTGCTGTACGGGCTTGCAGTGTCACACCTAGTGTGATGGGCACCATCCTCTCTAGGGAGAGAGAACCTGAGGCCTCTCCCCCTCCCCACCGTACCACCCTTCTCTGCTCCCGAAACACCCACTCCCCACGGCCCCTCGTTCCAGTTCCGAGGCCCAGCCCTGGGGAGGACGCTCCTCTGGGCCCGCAGACAGCCGCCCTCACCCCCGATCCTCACGTGGTGGTGGACAGAGAGCGTCTCTCAGGTCTCTCATCCTGGGACACGGATCCCGTTGGTGGGGCCCCTGCCTCCTAAGGCCATCAGGCTGGGGCTGGGCCTCGGTGTAGGGAACACAAATGCCCCCGTCCACAGCCAAGGCCCAGAGGTGACACCCGGCACAAACGGGAGAAAGTCCAGACGCTCAGCCTCAGACACGTCTCGGAGCCTTGCGGAGCGGGGCCTTGATCACGCGCGTGGCCCCCTCCGTCCTGGAGGCCGGCTCCCTCCCTGGGCCTGGGAGGGGGAGCCCAGCTGTGGGTAGGAGCTCCTGCCCGCAGAGGCCACCTCCCGCTGTCCCCCGGGGAACCTGCACCCGTCAGAGGCCTGGAGATAGGGCGACAGGTGGCCAGGGGGCCGGGCTGGCCAAGGAGGAGGCGGTGGCTCAGGGACACACCTGCAGACGGTGGAGCTGACCAGTCGCTGGGCACCACGGGGCTGGGCAGTCCAGAGGGGAGAACTCGGCCACCCGCGGAGCAGAGTGTGAGTGACCAGATCCAGGGCCAGATTCTGAGCCTGAGCCCTGATGGGGCCCAGGACACTCTGCCCCACGACTCCTTTTGACAAACTGAGGATCAAAATCAAAATGATCCCGTCGTCCCTGGGCTGAGGTTCTGAAGGCAGGATTGGATGCCACAGAAGTCCACAGTGGCCAGTCCAATAGGCTGGGGGGTGCAGGGTCCTGCTGGGCCTCTCCGGGGTGGCAGGTTTCAGCCGAGCCTCTGTATCCCTCGGGGATCAGACCTGGGGAAGGGGGGTGCTCCGGGAGCCAGGCAGACTCCGCCCTGAGCCGCCAGCTGCCCAGCAGGAGCGAGGGCCTCGGTGCCCACACCCAGAGCCCGGGCACCACGCCCTCGATCGCCTTGGCCCAAGTGGAAGGGAAGACAGAGGCACCTGGAACCGAAGGCGGTGGACAGCCAGGTGGACTGGAGACACGAGTCAGTAAGAAGCACACCGGGCCTCAGGCTGGGGTGGCCGCAGGTACGTGGTGGTTCATCTCCAGCACAAGATCCGGGTGCAGCCCCAAAGAGGAGAGGAACAAGGTCTGCTTGCATCTCTGCCAGGAAACACCTGTGGACAGCCATGGAGCACTCACACACAGCACCCACGTCACCCTCTCACCTCCTCAGAGGAGGTGACGGTCCCTCCCACAGAGGAAACCTTTCTTTATAAATGAGTGAGCATCATGTTGTAAATTCACATCCTCTTTGCCCAGCAATTCCACTTCTAGACATGTACGGTGAGGACACGTGCCTATGCACCAAGGTGAACATACAAATAACATGCATGACTGTGAAAGTGCCAGAAGGCATCCTGAATGTTCTCATGAAGGAGCGGGTGAGCCAGTCCACACAGGTCTGTGTGTGGAGTACCATACAGCAGTCAAAAAGAACAAGGCAACCGTATAAGTCCTGATTTTTGAGAACCCAAGAGATACATTGTTAAGTGAAAAAAATCAAGATACAGAATACTATCCATGGTATGTATCATTTCTAAGTTCTAAAACTGGGAGGGGACTGTGGATGGGTACATTCTTCTATATTAAAGGGTCTCACTGGAAAGTTGAAAGAGAAGCCCACAAGGTCTTTGAACTTTGAGAAAGGAAAACCGGTGGGGGTGGACAGGGGCTTAGATGTCCCTCTGCACTCCTTTGTTCTGTCTGATGTTGTTTTACCATATGCACATATTCCCTATTCAAAACAGAATGTTTTTTTAACTGGAAACGATGAAAAGATCCTATAGGCGTACCCACTAAATCAATCAGCCATGCCTATAGCTCCAACGTGCACTGAATCTCCCAGCCTCCCCGCCTCCGAGATGGATGGGCTGTAAACGGTGATTTCCCTTCGCGGGGACAGATGTTGACATTGTGCCTGTGCGTTCTTCACAGATGCGTGCCTTCCGGCCTCTTTAAAACTGGGTTTCTATGTCAATTTGGAAATCCCAGATTTCTCATATCAAATCGAGACGACAGGAGAAACTCAGAACTCTTCTCACACTGCAAAGGGGTTTGTGGCTGGCTGCCGGCCGCGGGAAGGGAGAAAGCGCTCCGGAGGAGCTGGCGTCTCTCTCGGAAGCCCTCCTGGTCCCCCGTGCCTCGGTTTACCCAACAGCACCAGCTGGAGAGGAATCTTCGTAATGGCTAGAGATGGGCCTGGGCAGCGAGGGCTCTCACACGGCCCCGCTGTGACCCTCTGAGCCTACCCAGCCGCCTGTCATCTGTAAAATGGTGACAATGTCACCTACCGACAGTGCGGCTCTGGGAGGGAGTGGTGTGACAAATGGAAGGTGCAGGGCCCCCTCCTTCCTCCTCCACTGTCCCCATGTCCTCCTCCATGGCGTCCACCCCTGGCTCTCTAGGACGTCAGGGGCCTTCGTGGGGCCCCCAGGTTCACCCACTATGGGACCTGGTGCGGAAATGTTCCCAGAGCCCCCTGAGCTGTGCCCACCCACGACGATGACAAGAGTGTGACCCACTGGCAAAATCTCCTGACCAACCGTCACTGCAGATTTAGAGGTTTTCACACACACACACACACACACACACAAATTAGCCTTTGAGGTGACAGTTTGTTAGTCAGCCTGACTCAATCAGCCCACACGGTAGGACACACGGCAAACTTCACATGGTACGCACACCTGTGGTCCCCGCTCCTTGGGAAACTGAGGCAGGGAGTCCCCAGTTCCAGGCCAGCCTCAGCATCCAAGCAAGGATCCTCCTGCCTCAGCCTCCCAAGCCGCTGGGATGACAGGCGTGGGCCACGGCGCCCCGCCTTGCGTCATCTTTAAATCACTGATATTACCCCATGTAACGTAGGCAGGGTGAGAAGCCGCTCTTCTGTATTGTGCAGGAAACAAAGAGAGGAAGTAAAGACCGCCCACGTTCACGAGTGACGTCACTTCTTTCTGACTGTTTTCCATGCAAGGCCCAGGCATTCGAGACCCAACCACGTGGAGGACACACACACACACTGATTTTTTCAAGACATTCAGCAACATCGTCCCCAATGTGAGTGGCTCCTTCGTCCCCATCCTCCACACCACGAAAAACAAACTCTCCACAAATTAAGACCCTGCATCTCCCAGTTTCCATAGGACCAACCCCAAGAGCTCTCTCTCTCTCTGACCCCAACAGCTTGGCTCTCGGCACTGGTCCGGTGGACGGTGCAGGCCACTGAGCTGCCTTAGAGACCTCAGCTCGTTCCTGGTCACTCTACTTTCCAACAGAGCAGCGTCTGCAGACCACAGGCCAGATCCAGGCTAACTGTTTTCCTGCAAGCTCTGAAAGGTCTTTATATTTAAATGATTGCGGGGGGTGGGGGATTAAAGGAAGAATGGGTCACAGTGCGAACATCTACGTAGAATGCAGGTTTCAGAGTCCATCAGCCAAGTTTTACTGGAACACAACCTGCCCAAGCCTCAGAGGCCTCCGCAGGAAGTGTCCTGGCCCTCAACTGAGACGCTGCTTTCTGGCACCGAGTAGGAGCCAGATTCTAAGATTTCAGGGAGCAGAGAAAACCAGTAAGAACTATTGCTCCTCAAAAGTATTAGAAGTGTGTTATTCAGAGTCCTGGGGACGTGGGGTCCCAGCTCAGCCCTGCTGACCGTGGGCATGACGTGCCTCTGTTTCCCCTGCTACAGAGCAGGATTACCCTCCCCATACGGAGACGTGGGCTCTTGGGTGATACAACCTGTGAAAAAATGCTTCCAAAAGAGAAATGAGATCAGCGAACGGCATTCCTCCTGGGCTCCCCCTCACTCCCCAGACAGCAGGAGGAGCAGCCAAGGATGAGGGAGGGAGAACTCATCCTTCTTCTCTAAATGTTTTCTTGTTAGGAAGCATCTTTCTTCTTAACATCCCTTCCTACGAAGAAGAATGTTAAAGGCCTTGACCTGGAGTGAGATGGAAAGCTCAACTGTGATCCCACAGCAGGATCACGGGAGCCTGCCTCCGGGCCCTTCCAATATTGACCCCCTCCAAGAAAATAGCCATAATATAAAAGTTACCAAGTGGAGAACTCCATCCTCTGGAGTTTTCAAAAACGAGTTTAGTTGGAATCACCGAAGATGGAAAGCAGGATTCAGGACCCATGGCTCTTCCTCCTGGGCAGCAGAATCTATGACTTGTCTTTGATTTTCAATGTGATTCTCTCCCATCGTCCGTGGGTTGGGTTGATGGAGCACACGGGGTCACTCTGGGAAGCGATGCACAGGAGATCAAAGCACGAAAGATGATTCTTGCTGAAATGTCTGTGGCCGACGGTGAGTTAGAAGCCTTTGTCTCCCACTTTATTCCCTTCAAAGCCAAGAGCTGTCACTTTAGCATTGTTTACGGGATTGCAGGGCACAGTCGGGTGTCCTGAAGAACGACATCAAGTCAAACGATAGAAAATCAAATAGGAACCAACGTCCAGGGCCAGTCAGGGGAGGGCAGTGGCTTCCACCAACACGAGGGTCACCCCCGGCAATGCATTCTGGACGAGAAACTGAGGTCTCCTGCTGCGGAAATAGCTGGTGGCTGGTGGCCTCGGCGGCCCTGCAGACCTATGAGCTCTGCCCGGCGGCGCTCACATCTCCAGAGAGGACTGTGCTCCATTCCTGGTCCCCAGTGGGAGCCGTCACGGGGTTCACGTCTCGGTACTGGTTGGTTTTTTATTTGTTCTTTTTAGTTACACCTGACAGCGGGATGCATTCTGACATATCCCACCCACACGGAGTCCCACTTCCCGTTCTTGTGGTTGTACACGACGTGGAGTTTCACTGGTCGGATGTTCAGAGGTGAACAGAGGAAAGGGACGTCCGGTTCATTCTTCTGTCTTTCCCGTCCCCATCCCCCTCCCTTTTCTTCATTCCCCTTGGACTAATCCAATGCACTTCTATCCCCCACCACACACACACACACACACACACACACACACACACACACGCTCTTATGTGTCAGCATCCACATATCAGAGAGAACATTTGGCTTTAGGTTTGGGGGGATCCGCTTATTTCACTTAGCCTAGTCTCCAGGTCCATCCACTGACCTGCAAAAGCCATAATCTCATTCTTCTTTGTGGCGGGGAATATCCCACTGTGTGTATGGACCACGTTCTCTTTATCCATTCATCTGTTGAAGGACATGTAGGTCGGCTCCATAGCTTAGCTGTTGTGAATTGTGCTGTTATAAACATTGAGGTGGCTGTGTCCCTGTCGTGTGCTGATTTTAAGTCCACTGGGTACAGACGGAGGAGTGGGACAGCTGGGTCAAATGGTGGTTCCATTCCCAGTGTTCTGAGGAATCTCCAGACTGCTTTCCAGAGTGGTGGCACCAATTTGCAGTCCCACCCACAGTGTATGAGGGTGCCTTTTCCCCACCTGTCCCGCCAACATTATGGTTACTTTGTAGACCTGTTTAAAAACTTTTTGGGTTTTACATTGGATACATTTAGGCCACGGAGGGTTCCCTGGGTCCTGGGTTCCCAGGCATCTCTGCAGGGAACAGCTGGGCCTGCAGCCCGCCCAGCCCAACCTGTGCCCTCCATGAGGGGCCACCTCGTTGGGGGTCGGTCCTTCAGCAACCCCATCGCCTGCTCCTGGCCTCTCTCAGAGTCAGTTGCTGGAGAGAACAACTGAGAACTCAGACTCACAGACAGAAAATCAGATGGCATTTTTTATTGGTTCTTTTTAGTCACACGTGACAACAGGATTCATTTTGACATGCTTAGAAAAGTCCCCAACTCTTCCCCTTCCCACCCCTCCTCCCTCCCCGTCCCTGTGCTCTGCTCGGATGATTTTCCTGCTCTTCTGGGGTTTTTTTCCTCCACCCAGTGCCCGTGGCTGGACCCGAGTGAGGTCCACAGTGGCCGGTTCAGGAAAGTCAGGCCAGTCTGGTTCTGCGGACTTCCTCCCCATCCTCCCCGACCTGAGCGCAGAGCCCTGGTCTGAGGTGACGCGTGACGAACCAGTGCGGCCTTCAGGGAAGGGGTCCTCCTTTCCGGAACACTGAAGCCATCGCGGCCATGGCAGGGAACGTGGGGTCTCCTCAAAGGGGGGGGGAGTGGAGGAGAATTTAGCCAAGGGCTCCGCACAGTGGTGAGAGCAGAATCGAAGGAAATCTCAGAGGAAGCTGCAGGGCCCCGGCCCAGGCACGGGGAGCAATCCTTGTCACCCTGCACCTGGGGGACAGGAAATGACCACGGAGCCCAGGGAGGGAGCCCTGGCCTGCAGGAGGGGCCAGTCCACGCCACGCCCCCAGGAGGAGACCCCGCCCTCTCCCCGTCCTAGGAGGTGGGGAGGTCGGTGGAGGTCAGCGTCCTGAGGGCCAGAGTGGGGGAGCGGGGTGCAAGCAGCGTATACCCAGCACAGGTCCCTCCACGGTGTGACATGTCCCCAGAGTTCACGTGCTGGAACTTAGTCCTAGCGCAGCGGAGTGGAGGAGGCGCCGGGGTGGTCACTGGGCACTGCCCTCCTGGACAGTTGGCGGGTGGC